AGCCCACCCTGCATCTGGCACAGACAATGAGTTGGCAAACTTGCTTTCAAAGTCAGTATTATTAGGCATTCTCTTCCCTTGATGGATATGAACTGAACCACACATGTCAAAGACACCGGGCTCTGTACTAAAAGCGGCTGATGACTCTCTCACCCTGCTTACTCAGCCAGTTTAAGATGAAATCAAAAACAGGAAGGGCCACAGTGGGGCCATTGAGGCTGGCTGGCAAAAGGAAGGCCTTGAGGTGGTTACCCTAAAGCAAAGAAGGATTCGGGATTTAAAAGATCCTATGGTCCTTTTGTTGAAGAAAAGACAGCCTTTGAGACAGCAGGAAAGGGAGCACGAGCTTGGATTTAATGAACCAGAGACTGAGTAGGACAGGTCGGGAGACAGAGCCACACTATGTTCATGGGCACCAACACTGAAAGGGCTCAAAGATTCATTTATCATCACACATGTAAGAAATCTCTACCCTCTTCCACAGGCACAGGGTGCAAAACATTTAGTTCTGTCTTTTCAAATGTCCAATGTCTTGCATCAAGAGTAAATCATAGCATGTGAGTAAAATAAAGCATAAAAAAATCATCAGGACAGCTACAAAAAAAAAAAGAAAAAAAAAAAAGCAAAGAAAGGCTGAGGGTTTAATTTACTTTATTACCCATGTACCTGACGGGAAGACATCTGTCTAGATTTTTGTACTTACTAGCAAAATTAGCATAATGGGTTACTTTTGTGCCTAATCTCTATTAAGAAATTTCATATATACAAGAGTACAGCATAAAATATGTATTAGTTTATAAAAACACACCACCATTGGACTTGGTGGCTGAATAAAAGTATTTCTAGGTAAACGTTGCTACTCTCTAAGCTCATAACTGAGAAAGCAATATTTGAAAAGCTAAGTTCCTCAGAGATAGCTGCTACATAAATACTATTACTATTAATGATAATGATAGTATGATTTGCAAAAAGCTCCCTCACATGTTTCTGGTACTGTATGTGTTTTTTTTTTTTTTAAATAAGAGTAGTATGTAAAAACAATACTTCACTCTTAATTGAAAAGTAACATTTTAGTTTTCTACTAAGTTTAATTCTAGGGACAGAGTACAGAACAAGGAACGAAAGGGATTCCTAGAAACTGCAGTAGCAGCAAGTCTGTGTTGTTTCATTTAACTTCAGCTTCAGTAGTCAAGTCACAATCTTTGGCCAAGTTCCCTTCTTTCTGTACATTCAAAGAATCTTTATATAGCTAAATGGACCATTAAATCCTTCAAGAGTCATTCAAAGGAAGCACTTCCTCTAAATTCTTTCTCATCGCACAAGGCACATGCATGCACAACAGAAAATGCATTGAAAAGGATGCAAATCCTCATATTCTAGCTCCATGAATCCCTCCATATGCAAAACGGCATCCTCTCCAACCCACAAATGGTTTCGCTGTTATTTTCAATATTAACAACCAATATTTGAAAGCTGTAAGGACAACTGGGGAGAGCATTAGAAAAATCGACAGAAAAAATATATATTTAACATAAAACGGGAAAGGGAAAAAAGATACGGCCAGAATAGAGAAGAGGAATGTGGCCCATTTTTCTCATCAAGGTTTTACATGTCTTTTTCTGTGATGCTGAACTCTTTTCCTGTTTCACCACCACTCTATGTAACAGTTTCTGGGCAGATTCTTTTAAGTCCTCCTGCAGAGGAAAGACATGTATGATCATATTTTAGTTGTCAAAAAGGCCAGTTCTCTGGCAATGGTCACAAATTCAAGCTTCTGCCATTTTACAGAACAAGATGGGGTGCCAGGCAGTGAGGAGACATGCAAGGAAAATCAGCCCCTGACAACAGCCAGCCTTCACATGTCTTTTACCATGGTGAGTGTTAAGTGATGCAGACCAAGCTCTCTCCCTGACAGTGACACAGCACAGAGAAAGCTAGCGCACCCTCGGGCCGCTTCCTTTACCTCCCGCTCAAAGAACAGCACACTTGTTTGTATAACACAGCAATGATATGGCATACAGGGCTGCAGAGTAAAGATGTGAGCAGTTCTGTGCTAAATGTTTCGTTTCAGTTCTGTTTATTCCCTCTATTTTAGCTCTCTGTAGGAAAATTATTTTCTGTATAAACAAATTCATCAAGTTAACTTATTCAAGGATGGAAATAACTGGTATCACATAACATTTTGCAAAACAAAATTGCCACTGTTGTATTCCAGTGCTTAAAAGCAAACTGCTACGGCAATTCAAATCCAGTACTAACATAACCCAAACCCCCTATTACCTTCATCACTGCATATTCAATTTACATAATTATTCTACTATGCTATTCAGAATTTACATGTAGTTGTATGCACTCTAGTTATCCTTGCTCCAGGGATGCTGTTTCCTTTCTACACTTAGTATAACAACACTACAACGCAACATACTCAATTTATCAGATCAAGAGAAACAATGAGGTTCAACAAAATAATGGTCTGGTTTGTTAATTTACTTAAAACCTCAATTCAACTACCGTATGCTTGGACAGCCATCCCTGTTTGACTGTCAACAACAGGGAAGTTCAGGAATGTCCTTACCATACTTCACTGTAAATCAACAGTGGCCCTATAAGTGATCAAGTAACCAGGGCCAACAGAGGTGCCACCAACACTCTTTATGCCCCGCTCCCCAGTGTAGCATCCTAAGTCTTTGGGCCACACTGCAGCAGCTCCCGTTTAACCTGTAAATCCACAGGCTCACCAGATGTGTTCCATCCAATTATTTTCACACCACTTAGGGTAAAATAACTGTTGCCTATAGCAGGCATTGACTGAGACTATTAGTCAAAAGGGGCAAGAGTGGGGAAGGTATTAGACACTTTTTCAGAGAAAATACACCCTTTTCTTCCTACCAAAAGCTTGTGATTCTAGTGCAAAGCCAATACTCAGATTCAGCAATGCCAAGCACTTACTCTGCACAGACTCTGATTCATACTTCAGAGTGGATAGCAAGCCTATGAGGCTTGCACTTAACATTTCTCTAGTGGATAAACACAGGGTCTGTATCAGCACCAAGAAGACATGGCATGCCTGGGACTAACTAGATTTGGTGCTCCAACTTTCAAACAGTTTCTTACAGTTGTTAGGAAAATGTTAACAAATTTCATTGTTAAATACAGCATTTTAATATCTGCCCCAAAAGACTCTACAAGAGGTAAGGGTATGTATGCTAAGTAAGTTTTTAAACATAGAGCCAGTCTGATGTAGATTCAGAACTTGAAAGGATATACTTGGAAATTCGTAACAATATCCAATACAGAGTGTTATTTTCTTTTTTTAATCCATTTTTACCATTAGGTGATAAATTTAAAAATTAAGATGAAAACTGGAATCAGATATATATCTTGATGCTAAGATTGATACTGATGATGTATTTCCTGAGCTCCAAAAAGCTTCTTTAGAACACAGACTCCTATGTTTTAAGTTAAAGAAAAAGATTATAGTCTTTTTGAGATTTTTGCTTCGATTTCTTTCTCCTTGGGAGAAATAGGCTTATGCTTTCTCCTACCAAAAGCATAATACTTAGATTTAATTACTTATTTTTTAAACTACCTCACAAAGTCAAACTAAAATTTTACCCATGTCTTTCTTCCTCACCCTTATATCCCTAACGCTTAAAACAGTACGTGCAAGTAATAAGCACTTAATATTTCTTACATAAAAACAGATTTTATAATGTGTTAAGTTTAAAAACATGTTCACAAAGAGGGGAAAAAAAGTGATGGTTTTCAATTAGGAGACCACACACTGAGGCATCAAAGAAAATTCACGAGTAAATGCAAATATTAAGTTATCTGTAAGATTGAGCTACTGAATGTAATTGAGTTACTTTGGCACCATAAAAGGTATTGAGGGCAAAATTTCCTAAATGGCTATGATTCAAACTTTTAAAACATCAAATAATAATGTATTTGGAGTTGTTTAGATTATTTTTAGCAGGAAGTTGCAAGTCCAAGTTTGTCCTTTCACTTCAAGGCAACATCTTTTTAGCCACAAAATTAATCTCCTCTGTTTGTGTACTTGGGCATGCACACACAGAGCAGCAATCTCAAAAAGTTCACAGGAAATGCAGAATTGACTGGTGCATACACAGGTGTGTATTTACACGTGCACATGAGGGTATGGGGTGGGTGTGTTTTCTAATGGAGTTTGCAAACAGATTCAGATTAACCAAGGCTGACCATAGTTCCATCTGGAAACTATATTTTCTAACATGAGCCACATTCTGAAAAACAGATTCAGATGTCTGGAACTGGTTCAGAACAGTTGTAAGAAACATTCACTACAAATGAAAAAAATTAGTCTTCAATGTCTTCCCCTCTCAGCTTTTCTTACCGAATAAATATGCTTTTTGGGGGAGCGGTCAGAGAACTGATGGGGGGAGTATGGAGTGAAATAGGGTCTTCCCTAGAACCTAAAATTCATGCTACTCTTGAATTCATATTCCATGGACAAGTACTATTTGATTTCTCTTGCGCTGCTCACTAGGATTTCAACCCTGCTCCTGGAAGGCTTACTCTGCCAAGTAGAGAGAATTAATAATCCTGGTTCAACCTCTGGGAAGAAGGGCTGAAATGCTTAGTGAAATATAGTGACCTTTCTTCTATAATCCTTCCTATTCAGTTTTATATCATCACTGAAAATGAGGTTGCTAGTCTATTCTTACAAATAATTATACTGCTAACTTCATTCCATTTACTAAGTAAGTTTTCACAAAAATATAAAAAATTGATTTTTAATTTGTATCTAGTAAGATCTGTATATCAACAGTTCACAACAATACATCCTAACTTTCAGAATGCGTAAAAGTCTTAGCTTTTTAGTTTGGATATTAGGGAAAGAAGCTCAATGATGACAAAAATCATTGTGTCCCCTCCCACCCCTCATTTCATAGGCTGTAACTATTGGCGCTAATTGCTGTACTCTCAATGTTTTGCAACTGTTGTTTCTGCCCACAGCCTACCTTGACTTTTTGCTGGATTTGGGTTTTGGCGTGGCAGTTTTTGCTTTCTTTTCCTTTGGCTCTTTGGGAATCTTAGGGGCTTTCGGGGTCTTGGGTTCCTTGGGCTCTTTTTTCTCCTTGGGTTCTTTCGGTTCCTTCGGATCTTTTTTTGCCTTTGACCTTTTCTTTTTCTTTTTTTCTTCTTGGGACCCATCCAGTGAGTTCCTATTTAGTTCTTGGTTATCTACCCCACCAGGGAAGTCATCTTTACCAAAACCTTTACTGGGATCCTCTGCTACAATGTGGTTGTTTTTCTTTTTCTTCTTCTTTTGTTGTGGCTGCTGTTCTATTGATGGCAGGTAATCATCACTCTTCACTAGCTGAGCATTCGGTCCACTAACCTGAGTCATATCCGGCACTGGTTTCTCTAGAAAGGGCTCCGACGGAGAATGCTAAGAGACACAAATAGCAATTGAAATTAGTTTATCATTCTTCACAGTAAAGAAAAGAACTGAAAGTTAGTGGCTGATGTTTCTGAAACTTATTCTATACTTAAGTAGAAAATATTTTTCCAACTATACAGTTGTAGAATCTATCATCTTCTCACATCCAAAAAAAAATATGTTTCTTTAAGAGACAATCTTTTAAGTAAGAAAGTTTTAAAATAGCACTTTAGTTAATACAGTAAAAAAATCAGTTCGGGAAGTAAAAATTAATCCAACTTAAGACACTGTCCATTTTTCAAACAGCCTACATGAAAATGGTGAATGGTAAAGCAGCAGCAAAACTAAGCCACAAAGAATACATCTAAGTTGAGTTCTAGCCCCATGTGGGAATGGGAACTCAAATTAAAAGTATATAATTTAGCCATTTTTAAAATGAGCAAGTATACTGAACATTTCAAGATATTCTAGTACTGTGAAAGTCTGAAATAAAAGTGTAAACATAATATAAATCTTAACACAAGTCATTTCTGGTTTAAACAACATTAAAATATCAAATTAAAACCACATACCCAAACTTGATGATTTTGGGTTGGTGAAATTTCTTGCACTGACATGAAAGGTGGAACATGTTTTTCTTAACCTCTTTAAGCTTTGTATTTCAAAATTTCACCAAGGGAGAGATAACCCAAATAAATTAAGGTGACATGCCTTTGGGAGGTTCTTGACATCCACTAGGGATACACCCAGACACTATCTTAAATAGAGTTGAAAACTAACCACATTTAGGATGGGATTCTTAGTGGTCAGCCAAGATCGGAGGAAGTGACTCCTGCACACAACAGCCTCCCTCATAGCTCACCATCCAAACCAGAGCCTGGATTATCATCTATACCATAAATTATGGCATCTAACGAACATTTACATTTCAACAAAATACTTGAAAATATTAAATCTACATATGTCTCTCATTTCCTGCCTTTTTCATATGCTGCTTCTGGCATGCAACACTAACTGTAATATAAACGATCTACTATGTGCCAGGCATATATGCTTTATGTCTTGGTACCATTCAATCCTCACACCAGCCCTAAGCGTTAGGTGATTCTTCTAATTTTATAGTTGAAGACACTGCCACTCTAAGATGAAGTAATTTGCCCGAGGAGGTACAGATGTTAAGTGACAGAACTGAGACTGACATCAGAGCCAATAGTTCCAGGGTCCTCACTCCTCAGCACATGACCTACAGAAGAGGAGCAGGCAGGTGAGCCCAGGCCCACATCTCCAGAGCCTTGTGACTACTGTACATGCCAAGGCTTACTACGAGAAAAGGAGGAAGGTTAGAATTAAACATTAAAATACAGGTACTGTAAATTCAATTCCAATACATCTAATATTTATTGAGCAGCTATTTGATGCCATGCACCAAGCTACGTTATGTTTGCTAGATGTGTTAATTCCCCTGAATCTCACAACAAAAAAGTGATAATTTACCCCCATCTTTCAGAAAGGAAAAGTCCAAGAAGGTGATGTGGCCACCCCAGGTCACACAGTTAGTGACAGAGCTAAGATTTGAATCTAGTTTCCTAACTCTAGTACTTTCTGATTCTGTCCACCTCTTCCTAACATCTTCTACACAGCATCTTTCTGGGAAAGGCTCACAGGTTTCACTCAATTGCCCTGGTGTAAGAGAAAGAGCCCAGAACTCTGAGTTAAGAGATTAAAATTCAAGTACAGGCCCTACCATCAGCTATATCATCTGGGAAAAAATCACTTCACCTATCTGGAGTTAGTTTCTTTTTCTGCAAAATGACGGTTTGGGGTTAGGTGATTGATAGGTGATTTTCAAAGTTTCTTCTAAAATCCGGTGGCATTAAAAAATCTTAAAGTACTTATTGCCCTTTCCTGGTCACAGCTAAGGGAGAAAGAGGCTGAAAAAAGAGTAACGATACATAGGAAACACAGAGGCAAGGTCAAAGTTTGAAGAAGAATACATAGATGTAGATCTACATGAGCAGATTTCCATGTAGGGATAACACAGCTAACTAAACACTGCCAAAATTACCCCCTGCCCCTCTATCCTTTCCTCACAAACACTCTTACACATCAACAGAGGCACTGTCCAAATTATCATTACCTAAGTATCAAGGGGACTTGATGTAACTGTTTTATATTTAGTTTGCATAAGTCAAGTTAGTTTGTACATATTATTTCCTAATGTAATTAAAAAGGAAAAAGCCCTATATTTTTTGCACAGGACACAGAGATCAAACTTATTTGGGACAAGCTATTTTTCAGGAAATGAAAGAAAAAGTTGTTCCTGGAAAGAGAGGAAAAGAGGAAAGTCTAAACAATGATTAAAACTTAGAATGGAGAAATAATACCAGGTATGTTTACCTTTCTTTGATCTGCATGGCATTCGCTCCAGTAATAGAACACCAGCTTCTAATGAGAGATTCCCCGGTACACAGTAATGAATTAGAAAAAGCATAAAACACTTAACACAAAAAGATTTAAAGTTTATCTACACACTTTAGCATACAAATCATGTTAGATGCTCCTTTTAGTAATAAATGAAGCCATAAATTAATAACTCAGTAAAAAATTTAATCTTGCATAAGGAGGAAAAAAGTGAAGATCAAATACAAAAAAAGTATTAATTCCATTTGATATGCAGCAGAATTATGTTTTGGTACTATCTGAAATAGGGTGAAAAAGGTGCTCAGAAATATTATAGTGTTTACCAGACCCACATCTCCTTAAATCTTTTAGAGAAAAGCTGTTTTTGTAAACATTTAACAAAGAACAGATGGCCTGCCTTAATCATGTGGGGAAAAAAACCTGGAGCTCCCAGTAATACCCTGACAAAGTCTCTCAGGCCCAGCCATGTCCCCCCCTCCACCCCCCACCCACCAGATGCATGGTACAGTCTTCTCTAATGCTATTTAATTTTACAGCAGACATTTTCCCATCAATTCCCACTGCCTGACAGGTAATCAATGCCATTAACATCTGATATTACCATGTAGGGCATTCCTAAAACCTCTCATTTATTAGAGCAAACATGGAGAATGTTAGATACCAAAGGTATTTTTAAATAACATCCTGTCAAACTTTCTGCTTGACATATATTCTACTATAATTCCATATGCCATTTGGAACATTATGGAATATATAAAGACTGCCATGAACTTTTGGAACTGAAACAGCATAACTGATACTTAAACTATAAATAAAAACGATCTAAGGTGAGTGTGTTTTGTTGAAAAAATTACCATAAGCTAAAGACAATTATTCGTTTCTTTAACTCCATTGTTCACAACATATAAATTAGAAAAGACATACAACTAAATTATCATATATAAAACAGCAGAATGGACAAGATGCAAATTTAACCAAAGGAGACCCAGTGGGGGAAGTGAGGGCAATCCCTCTGCTTCTTTCAAGCAAATCCAACCCAAAATGATAGGAGAATCATCAAAGAAAATGAAAAGATATGTAAAAAAGCAACTTTTTATTTATCTCAGTGTGATTTCTTCCACAATTCATCAGTATTTTCTGGCTTAAAAAGCTATCTAATTTTATCATGTTTTGCCTTAATTATACTGCTGAAGCCTCAGCCTGTTAGCAATTTTGAGTATAGCATGAGCAAGTGACGCAATGTTAACAGTGTGTGCCATGCTTTCAACATGTATGATCTCTGCAAACCAACATTTTGTAATACTGGGCACCCAAGGATAAACATTTTATTTACACACAAATGTATTTATTTACATGTGTATTTACATACAAACAAGTCTAAAATCAAAACAATGCTTTATAGAAAAAGAAAAGACGGTACCAAGGGGACCAGAATAACACGGTACTTATGAAAACAAAAGCCTCCCCACAAATTAAGCTAAAGGGAGGCAATGAGGAGGAGGCACTTGTGCTCTCAGAGAAAATAAGATTCTGGTGAAGAAGAGGCAGGCCAATTAAGTCCCAAGAAGCACAAATACAAGCTTTAAGAACACTAAACTATTGCTTAAATGGCTCATGAAAATACAAATATCAAGGAGTCATTTAAGATTGAAACGTACTATTTGGTATCTTAAAAATGGCTTTGGAGACACATTTTTATTACAAACATTCTTAATTTTTATTTTTTCCAGTATTCCCCAGGTTCTTGACCCTTCTACACTCTTCAAAAAAGGAATTCTGGTATGAAAACTGACACTTGATCTTCAGCCAGACGAGTGTGCAATGATTCAAAAGAACACTTAGCAAAGTTTCAGCAAGTCCTACTGAGATTGTAACAATGACGCTGATAAAAAAGAAGATGCATTTGGTATCTAGTACCCAATTCATGTATTTATTCAACAAATATTTGAGGCTCTAACAGTAAACAAGGCAGACATAGTACCTGCTGGGAAAGACTGCAGAGCACCTAACCCAGGCTGAGACCAGGGAGGCTTTCTACAAACTGTCCCAGGCTGAGAGACAGGGGGAGGCAAAGGAACCAGCTTGAACAACAAATCCTGCCTAAGACTGGGTGACTGCAGACATGCAAAGGCTTCACAAGCAAGCTTTTAAAATCTGCTTTGTAAGGGAGGAGATCAAGATGAGCGGATAACAGTTTGAATGGTCAATTGGGATAATAAACTTTAATTATTTGATATAAAATAAAAAACACAAAAATATTCTTAAGAGGATCAAGGACTGAAATATTTTCTGCTTGGTTAAAAATCAGTATCAATGATACTCAGGGCCCTGAGTTCAAGTTTTTTTATATGCCAGTTAGTTTTATTCAGCTCATTGTTAACAATTTCCAGGAAAACATATTTATATTGAATGACTATATGAATTAATTGAGAAGGCAAAGAGTACAGAACAAGTTAAGGATATTCAAATGTGTCACATAAAAACAGGTCTCAGGTAACATGAGTTTAAAGAATTCTGTGACAGGCTAAGCACGGTGGCTCACGCCTGTAATCCTAGCACTTTGGGAGGCCGAGGTAGGCAGATTACCT